CACAAGTAACACAAATTTTCAAACCTTGACACTTTTTTTCCAGGCTCTGTAGGCAGAACTAGAACAAGGCAGCCCATAAACTCTCATAAACTGTGTGTGTGTGTGTGTGTGTGTGTGTGTGTGTGTCAAAACATGCAGATACAAACAATTTCACCATTCACCAAAGAATCACTCAGTGATGTCACTATTAAGCTTCAACAGTAGTTGGCTCTCAAGGTTCTTGCTGTGAAGCTGTGACCGTTTAGCAGTGAACAGGAGTCCTGCATGACTGAAAAGTCTCTCACAGGCTGCAGATGCAGGAAGACCAGTGTTGACTTTGAGTGACAGCTTCTTGATGTGAGGAAAGGTGTGGAGTATATCCATACCTGCAGGGGACAGACATGCAAGGTACCTCTCCAGCTCTCCTACTTGTGATTTTCCCAACTCCATGGACGCAAAGAAGTCGTCTTCATCAGAGAGGCTGTTGTTTGTGCTGACATCATCCAAGTCTGTGTCGAGGTGATTTCTTATGTAGTCAAGGCCTGTGGCGAGATAAATAATTAGGTCTGCACATTATTCTTACCGTTCTACTGTATAGACTGTCAAGCTGCTGATGTTTAACATTAAAAGCTACCTGAGCTTCTAACTATATTGCCGCCCTGTGGTTTGTCACTGACACACTATAATCCTAAATGACAGTAACATTATACAGATTTACTGCATATAGGTCAATTTCTACTAGTTCACATTTTAATTGATAAACAAGTATATTTACCAGCATTTAAGATGTTCTCCTCTGTGGTCCAGGATGTTCTGAATCTTGGTAGGAGTATTGCTGCAGCAATCAGCTCAGGCTCTTTCATGACGTCTCCAAAACGTTTCTGGATCCCTTGCTGCAGGGCGTGAACAAGAGGTGTACACATTTTGCAAGATGACTCCAACCTCTTCAGCTTGTCCCGCAACTGGTAAAGTGTTGGCAGCAGGAGGCCCATATGCACAGATAACTCCCCTTGAAGGATATTAAGGGCCATGGCAACAGGCTTCATCACAGCAGCATACTCATCCAAAAAACCCATTTCAGCTGGATGGAACCTATAAAAGATGTAACGATAATAAAAATTACTTATAGCTATTTCTAGTATAATGTCTTTATTCTGTATTGTACATGTTAAATACACAAATAAATAAAAAATAAAATAGTTGATTTGGTTAAGTCATCCACAATTGTCACACCACCATGCAAAGAAAACTTAGTTACTTGAGATTCACCCATTAATCAGCAAGGCTTATTTATTTTTATTATTCTTTAAAAAAAAAGAAAAAAAAGTCAACTTACATCTTTATCTTTAATGCTGTGCAGACATTGCGAATTGCTTGTTCTCCTTGCTCTCGGTGAATGCGCACAATCCTTTCTACAGCGAGGAAGAGGGAGCTCCAGCGTGTCTGATTGGGTCGGAGAAACTGCAGCTTGCATTCACGTTGCACTGTTTCATGAGCCATGGTTGACCTGCTGGTTTTATTCCAAAGAGCATGACATTTTGCAAAAGCAGACCGAGACAGCCTCTTGTAGGTTTCGTTTGCAGCTCCTCCTGTAGCATTGGTATCAACTGTGGATATAAGATTGAGGAGATGGCATGCACACTTTTGGTGCCTTGGAAGTTGGTACTCAAGGCCTGGGTTGTCATCCAGAATAGCAGACACATCTTGATACTCCACATCTTGATACTCCACCTCTGACTCACTCTGATCTTCTATTGCATCATCAAGGGTGGAGTCACTCTCCTCTTGTACATTGGTGGCTTCCTCCTCACCATATAATCGGAAGGCCTTCAGGAAGTTTGAGCCACTGTCTGTTGTTGTCCTGGTCACTTTTTCCCTGATGTGGTACTCAGAATGTATTTCCTCTAATGCAGCAGCAAGGACGTCAAACGTGTGCGAGCCTTTGACAGGTCTACAAGCCAATGCAGCGGAGTGCCTCTCCAGTGAAGTGTCGTCTATCCAGTGACAGGTGACACCTAAGTAGCTACGTTGTCTGGCAGACCAGCAGTCTGTTGTGGTAGCAACATAGTTCACAGCACTCAGCTTTTTGATTATTATGCTCTTCTTGTGTTTTGCAGCTTCTTGTATTCTTGTGCATAACGTTTTCCTTGTCATTACTGTATGAGGTTGCAAGGTTTCTATCAAAGTCTTGAAGGATGGCGTCTCAACCACAGAAAATGGCTGGTTTGCCTCACATACAAAATTTAGCACCAGCTTGTCGAGCGTTGCTTGTGTTACCCGCCCTGGGGCAGCGAAGGCTGGAATTTTTGCATTTTTCACAGGAGTATCACTGGAAGAGGAGGACTTGCGCTTTCTGTGGTTCTCTAGTAAGTCTGTGTACTTAGACAGTTTGTTGGGATGAACCCTCTGTGGATAAAAATAAATAAATCTGTGAGGCTACAGGGAGATCAAGACATTAAAAGAGACTTATTACATCAAATTTGGATGGATATATAGGAAATGTTTAAAACTAGGGCTGTCACTTTTGTGAAAAAAATCCTTTTCGATTTTTGAGACACAAGTGTTCATTGAATAGATTGTAAAATCGATTTTCCATGTCTAAAGACGTTTCCATTTTCAACACCAAAAATATAGGCAAATCCACGGACAACTAACAGGCATTAGGACGGGCGTAAAGAGGGCGCTTGGAGACGCGCACAAGTGAGCAATATTTCTGATGATTTATTGGCGTGAAGTTTCATGCACAATGACAAACAGGATTGCAACATTCAGGGATTGAGATTAACTCCCGCCAACCCGGCAAATACGGGTAAAAATTAACTTTGGCGGGAAACGCTGTCAAATCACGAGCCAATTTGTCGTGTTTTAATGTTTACTCACTTTGCTGGGGAAGTTCGTGTAGCCAAATATGTGCGGATTTAGCGCAAATACGCAACTCATGAGTCCTCACGATATATTAAATACAGCGTATTGCGCAGAATCTGCGCATTTCTGGCTTGCTTGAACACACACGTCACTAAGCAACAAATAACGGCGCGCTTGTTCACTTGCATTGAAGTAATAGCGAATATTAAAAAGCATTTTGTAAACAAAAAAGACATTGTTATTTTCCAACATCCTACATGTTCTGTGTACTGTATTGTACAGTGTATCCACCTAAAACACATTTTTGGTAGAAAAAAGAAAGGACGTTAAAATCAATTCCCTATTTTCGTTTTCGAAACTTTTTTTTGTTCGACAGCCCTATTTAAAACGTGTAACCTAAAAGACAAACATTCGCCTATCCACAGCAACAAAAAAAGAAAAGAAAACGAATTTAGAACACTTACCGCTACATGTTTCCTCAAGTTAGATGTTGAGTTTTTGAATGCTGAAATGTCCGTTTGTTTTGGTAGACACAGAAGACACCGCATAATGTAGCTGCTGTTTCGCACTTTTACTAAGGTAAACATGCTTTCAATATGAGGCCAGGGGTGTTCCTCCTGATCGTCTGTGTCTGCATTGCTGACGGTTTCTGACATTTTTGTTTTGCTACGAGCCTACGACTGTACAGCTAACCCGTCCCGCCGTTGAGATTGAGTTTGGTCACGTGATGAGTGAGACTGCACAACTACGTTTGATTAGTGAAACACAGTCACGTGGTGGAGCCTTTAGCGGAAGTCTCTCTCTCTCTGTCAAAATAAAACATTAAAATGAGGCATACGGATAAAAAACAATGCGTAGAATACCAAAGAGGTGAAAAGAAAAGTAACGAGCTCATTGTAGCCTAATGTAGCGGAGTAAGAGTACAGTTTCTTCTTCACAAATCTACTCAAGTAAAAGTAAAAAGTATAGTGATTTAAAACTACTCCTAGAAGTATATATTTTTCAAAAACTTACTCAAGTAAATGTAACGGAGTAAATGTAACTCGTTACTACCCACCTCTGCGCTTAACACACTCAAGCACTGCCCGGGCCTGGCAGCTCGCGCCAGGTCTAGACACGGTGAAAGTTACCTCATTGTGACGGATGGCCGAATTTTCATGACACATTTAAATTAGCATTATAGCCTGCGATAGATACAGTGCCAAAAAGAAGAGGACACAACAAGGGGATAAAGACAGAGGTAAAGTGATGTAATGAATGAACAGTTTATCTAATTGCTTACTAACGTTAGTAAGATACTATAATTTAATGGCAGTTATTTTACCTTATAACTTTATGCTAACAGTCGGTTCTGAGTTCTTCAGAGCCCCCAGACAATGCGATTTGTAACAATCATGTCAGTCTTATTTAGACGCATTTACTATCACTTTTATTATTTAATGTTTTACTTTACAGTTGTGCAGTTTTAAGGGGGATATATGGCTTTTTTTCTTCTTTTCTTTTTGCCAAAATTATTAACGATATTTGTAGCCGTAGGCTACAGGTTTATTATGTTTTATGTAAAATTCACATTAAAGAAGACATTTCGCAGTTTCATTCATGTTGAAAACACGAACCGTGCCATAATTTAGTGGAAGATTGCTGCCATGACATCAACTCCCAAACAAACACTTTTGCTAGTGCTCAATGAATAGTTTGTGCATGAATGACATTTGGACGATGACATCACTGTTTTATCCAGAGCGGCTATATATAAATTAGATAAATAAAAACATTTTTTACAACAAAATAAACCATCACTGAACAACATACTTAAGCTTGATTATGACACTATTTTCTTCTAGATCTGCTGTACAGAAGAAGCAAACTTTGTTGCATTATTTTCCTGTTATCACTCTAAAGCTGCCTTGAAATAATCTGTATTGTAGGCTAAAAAGCACTATGTAAAAATAAAGGGGACTTGACTTGAATGCTAGGTGTAATGCTCTTGCTATATATATATATATATATATATATATATATATATGACTAAATAATCACCAACACAATGATAATGGGCTGTAATGCATGGGGCACCAGGTAAAATCTTGCCTAGGGCAGCAAATTGGTCAGGGCCGGCCCTGGTTTTATACCTGTAAATGTCTGTGTTGTAGATGATGAACTTCATTCGCAAGCTGTGCGCCACGTTCATGGTGCCTACAGCGCTGCAGGAAGACAAACAATTCTTGCTTTTTAAAGAAAAGGCAAACCATTTGCCAGGTCAGTGTTTGATCATTAACTATCATTATTTTTAATTCTTCTAATTTTACAAGTGATGAGATCAGACTACAGGGGAACCCCATGTCATGCTTTGCCTTGTACCTAGCCTTAGTCTGGTAAAGTTGTCCTAGTTTTTTGGGCTAACCAGAAGCTCAGTGTTAAAGGATCCATCCATTGATCCACATCTTCCATTAACACTGACCTTCTGGTTAGCCTAAAAACATTGGACTTCATGCCTAGTGTCATGCTGTTGTATGATCAGCATGACACAGCATTTCTGTTAACATGATTTGTTGTATCTGTGACAGGAAGAAAGCTGAATATTGGATTCACCACCAGGGTGAAGCTCAACAAGCTACTGGATGATGGAGACATCACGCCAGAGCAGATGAAGCAATTCCATGAAGCTACCTTGGCATTTCTGACCAATGCTGTGGACTTTGCTCTAAAAAAGCTGCCCCTACAAGAGCCACTGCTCAAGCACGCAAAGTTTGTTGATTTTCGGCAGAGGTTGGAATGCGGTGTAGAAGATGCCCTTTACTTTGTTGAGAGGTTAGGTTATTTTTTCAGGAATTTATGCTTGTTATCTGACATTAAATACCCTGAATTTAATACAAAGGCATTAACACCAGAATTTCGACTCTAAGCACATGAGCCATTCCTAAGTGGCTTCTTTTTAAAAAAAAGATCTTATTTGCTCCTTTTGGTTGATGACCATATATATATATATATATATATATATATATATATATATATATATATATATGAACCGCTTTCTTAAATTAGGTTTCCCAACCTGCTCCCCTACCATGGGCCTCAGGAGTATAACCAACTCAGTGACGAGTTCCTGGAATACCAGACTATACCAATACCACACCTGCAGGTCCCAGAGGAAATTGAGATGGAGAGCTTCTGGGCTGAAATGGCTAGCCTAAAACATAAGGCAAGAATTATTCTTTACCAAGAACACAGTGGAAATAGTTTTTTTTTTTAAGTTTTTTTTTTAAGTATGCTGTAGGTTGATGTCAATCAATTTGTTCTATTTAGATAAAATCATGCCTCTACAGTGCTTTAAAATTATGTGTGTGTGTCTATAGGATATACTGTATATACAAAGGATCATATAGATGCATGCATTTTGTCTTAATAGACAGAATAAATTATGTATCAACCTATCCTTATCTATCAACGACAAAAAAGAAATAAAACAAAACAAAAACAACACTACTTGAGAGCTTATTTCCACTGTGTTCTTGGCTCATTCTTCACAGGTGACAGGTGTAGGCCTGTTCCCGAGGCTTGCCACCATAGCAAAGATTGTCACATTCAAATGCTGATGCGGAGAGAGTGTTTTCTGTGGTGGGACTCAACAAGACAAAGACCAGGAACAGCCTTGCCCTGGATGGCACCCTGTCATCAATAATGACAATAAAAATGGCTGGCTTGGAGCCCTGCTTGGAGCCCCCCCTCCCAGCAATCATCAAGGCCTCTAAGGCCCCGTCCACACAACTGCGTTTTCGTTTAAAAACGGAGAATTAAAACGAATACGATCTCCGTCCACACCAGCGTTTTATCTGCGTATTAGAATTGATCTCCGTCCACATTAAAACGCCTGAAAACGCGGATCACTTGACCATTCACCAACACTGGGCATGCGCGTGCCGGTGTAAACAGGAAACGGATTGACATGTGATGGGTGGCTGACGAATCAGGGAAGGATACGTCATGACTGATGACACCCAATCATAGAGCCGAGCGTGAGCCTCTGCGTCATCGTTTCTAAAGTCCTCCGTTTTGTCCCGTCTTCACTAAAACGCCCTCCGGAGATTCAAAACGCAAAACAGAGCTGCAGCGTTTCTAAACTTCTCCGTTTTAGGTCTTCATTTTTTCCGTTTTAGTCTGGACGGGAGGTGCAAACGTAGCAAAAGGTCTCCGTTTCTAAACGAAAACGCAGTAGTGTGGATGGGGCATAAGAAGGCCACAATTCAGTACAACAAGGCACACAGATCTTAAATACAATGTTCCCACAGTGGTTAAACTTATTGTTTTTAAGTTGTTATTAGCTGCATGTAGTTTTGTGAATGTTAATATAACATGACCTTTATTCCAAAGTAAACATGCACAAAAGGAGCCATGCTGTGTCTTTTGTTTTGCTGGTGGTATTTTTCTGCTGGACCTTGTGGTGGGGAAAGGCCTTGATTGAAGAATGAATTTCCCTCACTGCCTAATCTAATGAGGTTTTTGGCCACCAGTCCCCCTGGTGTCCATAAATGGTTATTTCTATTTATTTAGTTATGAAGGATTAGAATTTATGTAAATCAGTGCTTCTCATTCTTTAGAATTTCAGTGGTCCTAGTAGATCTCTTTGGTAGACCAATGTTAATTTAATTTAATTTTTTATTATCATTTATTATATTTTTGCTGTACGGTAATGATGCTGAATGAACCAAACAAATTGCTTTGTACGCGGCAAAATTTTGGTTGGCCCCACCAAATCTCACTCCAAGGTTTTTTGAAAAGTTGGCAGCCCTGTTATTACAAGCTTAAGCTTTGAATCGAATTTGAATGCACTTTGAATCGAGCTACGGCAAGCAGAGAGTTTTGAACTCTGGCTAGTTATGTATTTGCTCAAAAATTTATTTTGGATCATTTTTAACCCAAAAAAGCTACGGACTGCAGCTTTAAACTTCTCTGTCTGTATAAGTCAAGTATACTTAAGTGCAATTTTATATTTTGGTAATGGACCAACTACCGGCGGTGACACGATGGTGGGGGAGGGGGGATAAATATAAAAAAGTAATAAACAAGGCTTTAACCTCCATTTTGTAACAGACACGCATTTATTTGAGCACTTCCATCAGTGAAACACCACATTGAAATAAATATCAATAAATATTGGTAACCTACATAATATAAGACAGTTACATATTATTTAAAAAATATTGATTTATATTTTCCAACAAAGATGCGTCATATAGCCTACCGCTCTGCGCTTTGAGAGGGACACGAGTAGGAAAGAGACAGTCATTCTCTTTTCTAATATCTTCATGTTTTTTTTAGGGCCGGGACTCGATTAAAAAAATTTATCTAATTAATTAGAGGCTTTGTAATTAATTAATCGAAATTAATCGCATTTTAATCGCATAAATATTTGACCTGAGAACTGTGAGAAGTAATTTTTTTCACATGGATTTTTAGTATACCATTGAATAATGACTGCATACATAAGCTTAAGCAACAAAATATTGTTTATTTTTGTTCAACCGAGTCCAGCAGACCAGTGCAATTTTTGCCATTAAGTGTAGCAATTGCATATTGCAACAAAATAGCATATTGCTACACTACACTAATAGCACTACACTAATAGCCATAATAGCCATTAAGTGTAGCAATAGCATATTGCAACAAAATAGCATATTGCTACACTACACTAATAGCAATAGCGAATTCCTTGTTGCATAGCTTGCACACAACCATGCTCTTATCGACGCGGTTCAACGTTCCGTTCCCGGGAACGTTCAACGAACGGCTCTGTTCTGTGATGCGTGTTGGTGACGTCACGTAATACGCAATTACGTTGAAAAGGTCTCACAGAACAGAGTAAGGTAAGCATTTGTGCTTATAAAACTTAAACTTTTTTAAATGACCGATCGTTTCGCTAGATAAGACCCTTATTCATCGTCTGGTATCGCAGCCTGTTCTCACGTAAATGCGTCTTTATAGCACGCATTGTGTGCATACATTGGACTAAAAGATGTTCCACAATCAACACCTCTGAAGGCAATGAAAAGTGGTGCTGAAACATGCACTGGACAAGAAGATAAATCACACAAGCATTTGCTGTTACTACTAACAAGTCCACAGTTGTCTAAAAAACATACATATCTCTCCACATCTGGGACATATTATGCTATTCCTGCTGTAAGGAGCCAGCTTGTAAGTATTATCCTTGTTCTTAATTGTACATGTCAGCATAAAAATGGTTACATGTACTGGTATAACACTAACAACTGTAAATCGAATACAATTGTTTGTAATGTTAAATTTTATGAATTGTTTTCAAACGTATCTACACAAACTGTTAAAAATAATTCCTTTTGTCTGGTAGGATGAACCAATTGCTATAGAGAGCGAACCTGATGACCTAAATATCAGCATGCTTTCATTAGATCCACCATCTGAAAAGAAGGATGTTAGTTTTGTTCCACACAGTTCCACATCTGCCTCAAGTACAACCACTACGACAGATGAAGAGGAGGAACAGACATGGCAAGAACGGAAATGGATTGTTAATGAATCAGCTTTCATGAAACAATTTAGAAGATGTCAAGACTGTGGTGCACTGATCTCTGGGAAAAATATCTCATCTGTAGGGAGCCTAATCAGCATTATTTGGCAATGTGAACAAGGACATAAGGGGCACTGGAGATCTTGTTCTGATGTGCGTGGAATGCCATCAAACAACCTTCTAGTTAAAGCAAGTACTGTGTTTACGGGGTCCACATATGCAGACATCTCTGAATGGGCTGCTGTGTTTAACCTTCAGGTACCACACAAAACTACTTTTAATGCAATACAGTCTTCATACCTCATACCTGCAATTGATGAGGTATTCAAAGAACAACAGAGTACCATATTAGATACTTTGAAATCAGGAAGCACAGAAAGAAAGGAAATTCATTTATCAGGAGATGGGAGATCAGACAGGTTGTTTTAAATTTTAGTGATCATTTTTTTACGTGATGTTATGTCATTTTTTTTAGTTACAATTAACTTTGACAGTGGAATCTATTTTATATCTCAACACAGTCCTGGATATTCAGCAAAGTACACCACATTCAGCTTGATGGATGACATCACAGACAAAGTTGTACACTTTGAACTGGTGCAAGTATGTGCCTGTCCATGACAATAGTGAAATATGTTTTGGTTATTTTATAATTACTTTATCAAGTATAAACCACTGTTTTTATTTTTATTACAGGTTACAGAATCATCAAGCTCTGTAGCAATGGAGTCAACTGGTTTCCGGAGAGCACTCAACAAAATCCTAGATGACAACATTGGATTAAGTGTGGTGACAACCGACAGATCCCCATCAATTCGCAAGATAATGCGAGTAGACTACCAAAACATTCATCACGAGTTTGACATATGGCATGTGGCATTAGGTATGTTTTAGAAATCAATGCCTACCGCAATCTGGTATGTTAATTTTTGTACTGTTATTTAGTGATAGAAACACGCAGCAATCAACTGTACAAAAAAGTCAGATACAGCTAATGACTGTGATGTTGAACGAAACATTTTGGATGAGGATGAACAATGTTTTATTTCGTTATAGGAATAACCAGATTCAGGATTTCGGATTCAGGAGGAACAGTGCGGTTTTCGTCCAGGCCGTGGAACACTGGACCAGCTCTATACTCTCTACAGGGTGCTGGAGGGTTCATGGGAGTTTGCCCAACCAGTCCACATGTGCTTTGTGGATTTGGAGAAGGCATTCGACTGTGTCCCTCGCGGCGGCCTGTGGAGGGTGCTCCAGGAGTATGGGGTCCGGGGTCCTTTGCTAAGGGCTGTCCGGTCCCTGTATGACCGAAGCAGGAGCTTGGTTCGCATTTCCGGTAGTAAGTCAGACTTCTTCCCGGTGTATGTTGGACCCCGCCAGGGCTGCCCTTTGTCGCCGGTTCTGTTCATAGTTTTTATGGACAGAATTTCTAGGCGCAGCCAGGGGCCGGAGGGTGTCCGGTTTGGGGACCACGCGATTTCGTCGCTGCTTTTTGCGGATGATGTTGTCGTGTTGGCCCCTTCACACCAGGACCTTCAGCATGCACTGGGACGGTTTGCAGCCGAGTGTGAATGGGCTGGGATGAAAATCAGCACCTCCAAATCCGAGGCCATGGTCCTCAGTCGGAAAAGGGTGGCTTGCTCACTTCAGGTTGGTGGAGAGATCCTTCCTCAAGTGGAGGAGTTTAAGTATCTTGGAGTTTTGTTCACGAGTGAGGGAAGGATGGAACGGGAGATTGACAGACGGATCGGTGCAGCTTCTGCAGTAATGTGGTCGATGTACCGGTCTGTCGTGGTGAAGAAGGAGCTGAGCCGTAAGGCAAAGCTCTCGATTTACCGGTCAATCTACGTTCCTACTCTCACCTATGGTCATGAGCTTAGGGTCATGACCGAAAGGACAAGATCCCGGATACAGTCGGCCGAAATGAGCTTTCTCCGCAGGGTTGCTGGGCGATCCCTTAGAGATAGGGTGAGAAGCTCGGTCACTCGGGAGGAGCTCAGAGTAGAGCCGCTGCTCCTCCACATCGAGAGGGGTCAGCTGAGGTGGCTCGGGCATCTGTTCCGGATGCCTCCTGGACGCCTTCCCGGGGAGGTGTTCCGGGCACGTCCCACCGGGAGGAGACCCCGGGGAAGACCTAGGACACGCTGGAGAGACTGTCTCCCGGCTGGCATGGGAACGCCTCGGTATACCCCCGGAAGAGCTGGAGGAAGTGTCCAGGGATAGGGAAGTCTGGGCATCTCTGCTCAGACTGCTGCCCCCGCGACCCGGCCCCGGATAAGCGGAAGAAGATGGATGGATAGGAATAACCAAGAAACTGGCTTCACTGTCCAGATACAAAGACAACAGAGCACTTCAGCCATGGATTAAGAGTATTGGCAATCATCTGTGGTTTACATGTTCATCTTGTGGGGGTGACCCGGATGTACGTCTCTAGATTGTGCTTCTGTAACTTGTTTTAATACAACAATACACTGTAGAACACATTTAAATATTTATATTCGATTTGTCAGGAGCTAATAAAAAGGTGGAAGTCAATTCTGCACCACATATGTGGTGTTCATTCATGGATCGAAGACGGAGAACCAAAAAAATGTATTCATAGTGAGCTTAGCTCAGAGGAGCAAAGAAAAAAAAATGGATCGACCAAACTTCAAGGGCATTCATTACCTTAAAGAACCTTGTCTTAGACAAGGGTCTTCTGAAGGATCTCAGGCAGATGGCACTTTTCAAGCATACTGGTAAGTTTACAAATCTACAATGTATGTTAATGTATAGATCAACCATATTTATAAGGGTAAGCTGGAAGTGTTCCATTCACTGCTCCTGAAGTACTGCCCCAAAAGAATACACTTCCATTACACTTCAATGCTCGCACGTACCCATTTGGCAGTGCTTGACCACAACGAGAATGTTCATTGACAGCAGGCCAGAACCAAAACTGGTAAGTTTGACTTACAATATATATCTGACTATAATGTCATAATGCATTAAAAAAATATTTAGCATTTTTTTAATTAATTTATTAACTTTTAAGGTACATCCAGGTTCAATGTAGTGTTCCCAAAACACTCTAAACAGTGGGTGGCCAGAAAGCTTTATGAGTCCCCAACTCAAAATTTCAGAGAAGAACTCATACGTCGCGTACTTCAGAGGCGCATGGACAGCAGTATTATTTACAAGGACTCTTCTTCACATTTGGAAATACAACCTGTCCCAAAGAACATAGCGTAACAGACAAAACCGTCTAAGGAAGACACAGTTTCAAAGCATTTGTCTCGATTGTCAAATTAGTTTTTTTCAGACTGACAACGGTGTAAGTTATCTTTACAAAGTAATGGTAATACATTCACATTACATGGTGGTTTTCTTTAGTGGTGTGTGTGTGATCATTGATGTCACCTTGTACAGTAGCGTCAATTTGTCTGTTCAGTGAATGAATGAGGTGTATTTACCAAAAATTGTACAGGGTAAATTCTTTAATTGAGGAATTTTTTGGTAGGTTATATGTTAAATATTACACCACTTTTGTTGTCATTTTTTTTTTGTATTTATTATGCCTTTATTTAATTTTTCTCTTTGATTTTCATCTATAGTTTTGTTAGATTCCCTTATTGCTGAAAAATACTGTTAATTTGTGAATGTGCAGCTAAAGAAAATTAAACTTACATAGCTTGCTTTTATGTAAAGTGTCATTACTGTGTATTCTAAATATCTATATAAAAATATGAAGCCATTATAAATACAGATTGTTTATAAGGAGCAAATTACAATGAAATTGTAGTAGCAATATGTTTTTATTTTAGAAATTCAAAGAAAAATTAAGTTTACATTATAATAACAACAGGCAGCACTTTCAGAAAGTCCTCTATTGCACATATATCAATGATAAATGGTAATTCAAGTAAAATAAGGAAAAGGCTTACATTACAACTATAAAATTATCAATGATAAATGTTAATTCAAGTAAAATAAGGAAAAGGCTTACATTATAACTAACAATGATCAAAAGATATATTGAGCAATATATAGAATGTTGTGACAAATGATAACAGTAAAATAACAATTTCTACAACATTGCAAATGCATTGGCTGCCTCTGTGAAGCCCACATAATGTCCAGAGGGGGATGGATATTTATCGCGGATGGCTTTCACCACACAAGAGGGTAAAACTTTTCTATTTCTTCTGCCCAGATATTCCCCCTTCAGCATCCACTCCAAAACAACACGATACGCCACCAATCTCTACTGTCTGAAATATAATGCAGTAATTGTAATTAATTAATTGGTTTATAATGCAACCTTTAATCATTGCAATAATAATAAAAATACAACACATTACTCACTCTATTGACAGCGTGCCATTGGGTCCCACTGGCCTTGGACGTCGCCTCCAGTTTATACGTGGCAAACTAAACACAACATGCAGAACGCTGCGGCTCAACAGCGGAGAAAACTCAGGATCTTCTGTCAGGCAGGTGTATGATTGGACACGGTCAATGTCCTCGTCGTCGTCATGTAGTTGTGGCATTGCTATGTTCCACTCGTGACAACATATGCTCTCCACTTCTGTTGGCATCTCACAACACTTGCTACAAGAACACCACCAATTTTGAAGAGATCTCTGTCTCTCTGAGGCTTGAAGACGTGCTGCTGCACCGGATGCTTCCTCCATCGCCCTGAGTTCTTGATCGGTGTATTCGGGCTCAAATAAATATGGTTGTGAAATAAATTCTACGTTGTCTGTTGATATACCGAAATCGTCTTCCATTGCGATTTCCTGTATATCTAAATATATTTAGATCTTCACAATGAAAGGTAAAACGTCCGAAATCTCTGTGTAAACAATGAGTGACGTACACGCGCGAGAGATCATTCCGGGGCTTTCCGGCGCTTGCGCAGACAGAGGCGCCCGCACCATCAGAGTACTTGGACGTGACTGTGATTACAAGAGGTAAAAACTATATAAATACTGTTCGTTTTCTCACACAAACCGCTCGTTTCGTGTCTTAGGCCATCAGTGTGTACTTACATTTACGAGTCATTAAATCATGTTTAATTTGGACTTCTCTGTGCATGCTCTTTGAGGTGGTGACCATAGACCTGCATTATATGACTGACAGACAAGAACGGTTTGACCTAAAAATAACAAAATTGAAAATACTGTGGACACAAAGACACCTACATCTTGGATGCCCTTGAGGTAAGCTAAAACATACCAACAAATAATTTCAAAGTGAACTATCCCTTTAATCTTTCCCTGCCAATGACTGAATTTTCCGGCTATCTATGTTATATGGTAGGGGGCGCTATTACACACCTTCTGAAAGAGTACAGAATCTCCTGATCAAAACACAGGAGAAGCAGCAAAAAACAAGTGATAAAAGATTACGTACGCAAATGTAAAACAATGTGATCGTCAAACAGCATATTAATCAAAACTGCCTAATGTTACTGAATGAAATGTCATCCCATTTTTTTTAGGCAATATCGCCCAGCCCTAAAGTAAAGCTGGTAATGCTGTTTGTGGAGTTGTTTACTCCTCCTCTGCTGAGATCTTGAGAGATTTAATGTTTTATTATTTATTTCATCTAAGGCTGTGGCTGGAAGTCAGTTGTAGTTCTTGTGCTTCTCTTTGTTCTGTTCTTCGTGTTCATCTTCCCTTCAGTGATTCTGCTTGTTAACAGCAGGTGTTTGCCACTAATGATCAATCATCACTTAATTAACTTAATTTCTTGACTGCAATGTATATCTTCTTTTAGTGAACTCAACTGATATAATTTCACAGTACTCATAACTATTGGTTTAAATACAATTAAATGAATTAAGGTGACCGGTGTCCTCAAATGTTATGATTTATCTTAACTTACTGGATTTGACTTTGT